GGAACAGAGGACCAATGCGCAGCGTTGAATGCAAACATATTTATTAACACTGAAGGAAACACGAACAAAAACGATAACGTGACAGTCACGGTCTAACACAAACCGACTGGAAACAAGAACCCACAAACACAACGGGAAAAACAGACAGTTTAAATATGGCTCCCAATCAGAGACAACCAGCTGACAGCTGACACTCGTTGCCTCTGATTGGGAGTCACTCAGGCCAACATAGAAATAAGCAAACTAGAACTCCAAACATAGAAATAGAATACATAGATCTACACACCCTGGCTCAACATAACAGTGTCCCCAGAGCCAGGGCTTGACAGTACCCCCCCCCTAAAGGCGCGGACTCCGACCGCGCCAACTAAATACCACAGGGGAGGGACCGGGTGGGCACTCCGCCTTGGCGGCGGATCCGGCTCCGGGCCTGATCCCCACTCCCTCTCCAACCCCCCAAAGTACCCCTGGTCCGGTCTGGCCCCGCTGGCCGGAGCTGGACTACACACTGATGGAGCGGATTGCTCTAGCTCCGGCGTAACGCATCTGACCGGTGCCGGACCAGGCACCAGTGGAACAGGCACGTGCCGTGCCGGACTGACGACGCCCACCACTGGCTTGGTGTGGAGAACAGGCACGGGCCGTGCTGGACTGACGACGCACACCACTGGCTTAGTGTGAGGAGCAGGAGCGGGCCGAACCGGGCTGGCGACGCGCACCATTGGCTTGGTGCGGGAAGCAGGAGCGGACCGGACCGGGCTGACGATGCGCACCCCTGGCTTGGTGCGTGGAGCAGCAACGGGCCGGACCGGGCTGACGATACGCACCCCTGGCTTGGAGCGTGGAGCAGGAACGGGCTGGACCAGGCTGACGACTCGCACCCCTGGCTTGGTGCGAGTGGCAGGAACAGGCCGGACCGGGCTGGCGACGCGCACCATAGGCTTGGTGCGGGGAGCAGGAACAGGCCGGGCCGGGCTGGCGAATCGCACCATAGGCTTGGTGCGAGGAGCAGGAACAGGCCGGGCCAAGCTGGCGACGCGCACCGCAGGCTTGGTGCGAGGGGCAGGAGCAGGCCGGGCCGGGCTGGCGACGCGCACCGTAGGCTTGGTGCGAGGGGCAGGCCGGGCCGGGCTGGCGACGCGCACCGTAGGCTTGGTGCGAGGGGCAGGAACAGGCCGGGCTGGGCTGGCGACGCGCACCGTACACTTGGTGCGGGGAGCAGGAACAGACCGGACCGTACTGGGGACACACACCACTGGCCCTACACCGGGATCTGGAACGGGCCGGACCGGACTGGTAACACACCCCAGTACCTCTCGCCGTGCCTCTACACCTTCCATCCCCTCTTCGACCAGTGGCCCCCGTAACCTGGCGGCCTCCTCTGCCAACCCGCTGGACCGCTCTATCGCGGCCTCCTGCTGCCCCGACGTCGTGAGCCCCCCCCTAAAAATTTTCTGGGGTTCTCTCCTCCCCGTGGGCCAGGACTCTATAATTCTCGCCCAACTCTCGCTCTTCTGCTTCCAACTCCCGCCATTCAGCTCCTCATTGGGCTTGACCCAGTCGAAGCTCTTCCTCCACTGTTCCCAAGTCCACCCTCTCTGCTCCTCACTAGGCTTGACCCAGTCGAGGTTGCCACGGAGATCTGCTAGCGATGGCTCCTGGACACGCTGCTTGGTCCAGTTTTGGTGGGTTCTTCTGTCACGATCGTCGGGAACAGAGGACCAATGCGCAGCGTTGAATGCAAACATATTTATTAACACTGAAGGAAACACGAACAAAAACGATAACGTGACAGTCACGGTCTAACACAAACCGACTGGAAACAAGAACCCACAAACACAACGGGAAAAACAGACAGTTTAAAAATGGCTCCCAATCAGAGACAACCAGCTGACAGCTGACACTCGTTGCCTCTGATTGGGAGTCACTCAGGCCAACATAGAAATAAGCAAACTAGAACTCCAAACATAGAAATAGAATACATAGATCTACACACCCTGGCTCAACATAACAGTGTCCCCAGAGCCAGGGCGTGACAGATGCATCCACTCTCAAGATTTCCAGACGTTTGTCTGGGAGTTTCACTGTACATGTCTGGTGTTGTGCCTTGTCTTCCTGTTTAAAACATTTTCCTCCACTTAGTCAGAGATGAATACACCCTGAATCATTACACTGAACATGCAAAGCCACTGGAGGCTATTTTATTACGATATACAGTAAGAAATCAAGCTATAGTGGACTACATGTTAAGTACTATAGCAGACTCAACATGTAGCAATGCATACTCCAGTGAGTATGTCAGACACCTGTCAAACATTAATATAGAAATCCAGACAAGTTAAATGCAGGGTTAGGATAGATAGTTTGACAAAGAAACCAATCAGGGGTGCTACCTTAATTTCATACCTATTACTTTAATGGGTCGTTTATTTCAATGCTCTCCAACTTTTATGAGAAGTAATATGTTCTAGAATTCAGAGAATGCATAGGTATCTGGAAGTTCTCCTCCTCAATGTGCAAAATGATTACTCCATCTCCTTGCACTCTCCATACAATATACAGTGCCTTCAGAAAGTATTCATATCCCTTGACTTATTCCAATTTGATTTGTGTTACAGCCTGAATTCAAAATGGATTAAATATATTTTTTCTCTCTCACCAATATACACACAAAACCCCATAATGACAATTGAAAATCAAATACAGAAATATCTAATTTACATAAGTATTCACACCCCTGAGTCAATACTTTGTAGAAGCACCTTAGGCGATTACAGCTTTGAGTCATCTTGGGTATGTCTCTATCAGCTTTGCACATCTGGATTTGGGGATTTTCTTCCATCCTCCGCACAGATTTAAGCTCTGTTAGTTAGATGGGGAGCTGCGGTGAACAGAAATCTTCAAGTCTTTCCACAGTGTGATGAGGTGGTGTTGAAGAAGTCAGGCGCAGGAGGGTAAATCACTACTTATTTTCTACCAATATCAAGTACTAAAAATCTCTACCTGATCACTACTGGAAACACCACTGTTTTCCTACCGAACACTACAAAACTCTACTTGTGTATCTTGAGTAGTGCATAAACTACACATTCACTGCACAATTCCTACGTCGTTACATAGTCACTACTGGACGAACAGGTTTTGTGTAGTATTCAGTAGTACTTTTTATGAAGGCACTGCAATTACAACAGCTAATGGGGATCCTAATAAAATAACAAATAAACACATCCATCTCCTTTTTGACCTTGGCTCTTCTTTGACTTTGGCTTAGTGATGATATGGCCCCGTTTAGCTCAGTTGGTAGAGCATGGCGCTTGCAACGCCAGGGTTGTGGGTTCGTTTACCACGGAGGGCCAGTATGAAAATGTATGCACTCACTAACTGTAAAGTCGCTCTGGATAAGAGCGTCTGCTAAATGACTAAAATGTAAATGATGATGTAAGGAGGATTACCTTACAAACCCACAGTAATGTTTTGGTACTTCAATCATGGTTCATCTGCTGCAAAATTCTTAATCAGTAATAAAGCCAAAATGTCTTTGTGCTTTCTATCATATGACTGTAAGCAATGCCATGTATTTGATCTCAATTTCACAGGGCTTGTGTCCTCAGTTTTCTTCCTCTGTCTTGTCGATTGGTGAATGTTTGCATTGAGTGGCCACACCAACCACAGGAAGAGTGGGAGAGGAGTGGTGGGCCAGAAGTGGTAAACATCACAAGACACATCTAGCCCTGCTGCTATTGGCTGGAGCTGGAGGCAGCCGGGTTTATAAGCCAACCAGCAGCCTCCCTTCAGCAGCATCCATCCACATCCAAACTGAACTGTGCTGTTCCTCCTCTGGCATCCAAGAGAATACTGAGCAGCTCTCCACTCATCCTCCTGACTAACTATTCTAGAGCTATCCTGTGGATTCTCTGTAGAACCAGTCAAGGTAAATAATGGCTTTTCACTTGTATAGATGTTGGTGCTTGGTTGCAAAAAGACTGATATAGATTTGGGTGATTATTTTAGCAAAATTGAAGGAGATTTCAGACAATGTACATATAGCAGAGTAAATTCTGACATTGACTTACACATGTGCTTTATGCACAATAAGAGATTACAATTAGATTAAAGCCCTTCTATAGTCCTCTCCTGTAAAAGCTCAAAGAAAATTGTGGTGAAATGTTCTATATTTTGTGCAACTCAAATATCTATTACTTTAACAATTTGAAGAAAGCTGGGAGACTCTTCAGCACTTATAATCTATAATTCTGCACAGTCAATGCTTCAATGTGTTGCACTTTTTTATTTACAACAGAATACATACAGTATTCTGGTTAGTAATAAAGAAGAAGAAAATAGAGCTCAGTGGTCAGGTGTAACAATTAGTTTGTGTTATTACACATTCTCTCAATACACCAGATATGTATATGCCTTTGCTAGTGTGAGATAAATCCTAAACTAGGTTTTATAATGTTGGAGTGATGAATGTGAGCGTGACAGCAGGAAGAGGAAGCTGTGGCCTCAGCTCACAAATCCACAGCTAATTTGTTGTCAACTGACTCATACAGTGTGTTCCAAGACTACGCCACAGCATTTAAGGGCTGCTGTGAGGACAAATAATAATAACAGCAAAACTACAGGTTGGATGAGTTACTTCTGAAGTCAGATCACATCTACATACAACATCCTCTCAACATCCCTAGTTGTTTCTCTCACCTTGCCTCCGTCACACTTCCGTCTGTTGACACCACCAATTTATTAAGGGCTCTTCATTCTAGAACCCAAGGATCTAATGAGAAAGTAGGGTTGGCTTCCAAAATAAAGCTGAGGGGCGTTCATCATGTTCCCTGCCTCCCTGGGCCGACTGTGGTCTTCCACTTTTAACTTGGGGAATGATACACTATGCAGAGATCATTAGAGGTATAGCTAAAACACTGCCTGCTCAGAGTTATACTTGATGTAGTGTTGTTCTAGCTGAGAGTAGTTGAGCTGGAAAACAAGGGAGACGTTCATGCATGGGGGTAGGATAGCTAGGCTAGGCTGGATGTCATTAGCTGGGAGGGAACCCCATGTTGTCTGCCAATGGCTAGGGACTTTAAAAGGAGTGCACTTCCGCCAGATTCCCTCCACTTAGCTATAGTGGAGACATGGTTGGTTCTCCCTGTATAGTAATCAAGGCTTTAATGGTTTAAACATTACAAGGCAGGACTTCACAGACACTTTGCATCTAAAATCAGTCTAATTGCCTCCCATTTGGGCATTTCTGCTGTAATTTCTGCTTTTATTAGGATACCCATTAGCTGACTCCAATGGCGACAGCTAGTCTTCCTGGGGTCCGACACATAACGAAAAATACATTACAGACAAAAATACTTTACAAATTGAAAAAAAAATGTATCACATTTTCACTTTTAAAAGGATGTTAAATGTAGCCTACATACTCTATAGCTTTCAACAGAGTTTGTATATTCAGTTCTCATCATTTTGATGGATTTCATGATTCTTTATGTTTGTATGATCATTATTTTTCAGATACACATTGTGACAATGAAGGCAGCAATTGTTTTCTTCCTGCTCTTTGCAACGGTCCTCTGTCGCCCGGCGATACGATCGCCCAGCAACAGTTCAGAGAGCTCAGAGGAAGTGGTGAGTGTTCCTTTTATATGAGAACATACAGTATATTTCGAAAAGACAGTCAGACAGAGAGACAGATATGTGCATCAACTTAAATTCCTGTTCATGTTGGCAGGTAAAACCAGCTCCAGTGCTTGGGATAGCCCCAGCAGAACTTACCGAGATTGCCCCTGTACAGGTAAGAGACTCTTTCAGCAAACATTCCTTTATCATCTGTAGGTGTGTTGGCATTGAAATGTATAAATTTGTCCTGTAGGGAAAACTGCATTAATATGTCAGTTTTTATTGGAATCTTTTTAATGCTAAGGTTTTCTTTTAGAATGTGGATGCTGCTACAACATCAGACGAGAGCTCCGACGAAGATGAAACAGAAGTAAAACATAATTCTGTTGTAGCATAAAATGCTAAATCAATCTTACACCTGATAGAAACAACCATATCTGTGCTTTTGATGGATGTTACTTCACGCGTTGATTGATCCTGTTTTTCTATTCTCCAGGGAGCTGATCCTACATCAGATCCAACATCGGACAGCACAGCATCAACAGACAGCGATGAAAGCGAGGACAGCGCAGACAGTGCAGACAGCGATGTGAGTAATGCACCATGTATAAAACTACTGACAATGAAGACGTCTAGCTAATGTTGACAGACAGGAGCATTTCACCAAGCTCTTATTTTAACTTGATATCTTAAGAGAGGTTATGTAAAACTAAAGGTGTTGTTGTGATGTGGTTTGTTTTCAGGATACAGACGAGTCCAGTGAGTCAGAGGAGGCAGACACCACCGCTGCCCCTCCTACAGCTGAGCCCATCGTAGAGCCCACCCTGGCCCCCATCTACGACGACGGACGCGGAGACAGCCTGGGTTACCCCAGCGACTACAAGAAGTCTATCATCTATATAGATACTGACAACATCGAGAAGGGACCCTCCCCTTACAAATCCCATGGAAAGATGGATGAGGGGATGTATGCTGGCAAGAAGGTGTCCGTCAATGACACCGGGCTCGGAAACGAGATTGAGAAAACGATGACAGTGTTCAAGGTAAATTTGTTTCTCCTCTGTGTTAGAATTCTCCATCTAAAACTCATAGGCATTATTCCCTTCCATTTAGTTTTGGAAGTTTATCTAAACATCCTTCCGCCCCCTCCCTCTCGCTCCCTCCAGGCCCTGCAGGTGCATGATTTGATGGAGGACACCAGCACCCCCGAGGTGGAGAGCCAGGGTCTGGATGCCTCCAGTGTGAAAGCCGAGGAGCCCAGCCTGCGCCAGGTGCATGTCGACAAAGCCAGCCAGGACAGGACCCCCTCTGAGCGCACCAGTAGCGCTAGCAGCGACGGTACCAGCGAGAGCACCAGCACCAGCGCCAGTAATGAGACTGACAGCAGCAACAGCAGTGAGGAGGCTACAGCCAAGCCCGGGGCAGCAGACAGCGACTCAACAGAGAGCAATGAGAGCCATGACAGTGACAGCGACTCGGCTGAGGAGGCGGCCACAGAGGCTACCGTCACTACCGACGCTCCCGTCGTCATCACAGCCAAGTAAAGGCCTGTCTTTCTCCTCCTGCTGCTGTCGACAGTGAAGAATGCTACTAGGACCTGGAAGGTGCTCTATGACCCGGCCTTAGGAGGATAGGTCAGAACGGAGAGGATAACGAAGAAAGAGATAAGCACAACTCAGGGCCCTTAGGGTCTGATACAGTACGACAATAATACCTGATAAGATTCATACTAGCTATCTCATCATGGCATATAGAACGGTCAATTATTGTTCAATTGCACAATTATTTACACTACATGTTGTTTGTCCCATAATGTATAACGTTGTATCATTTCTAAATACATACATTCTTCTTTTCATAAAACGCATGGTTGGTCTGTTATTTCACATTTGTATACTTTGTTGTGTCTGCTGAGCCATTGAGCTCTGTAGAGACTCTGGAGCATTCACAGTGGGGTTCACCAGAGAGACCACACTCCATCACAAACCATCATTTAGTCTCATTATGAGCTAACACATGAACAAAAGGCCCTGTTACAGTAAATATGCTGCATGTAAAACAATACTGGAAAAAAAAACATTTTGTACCGTCAAATGAAGTTGTTCATAGGTTGGTTTTCTCAACATAACATTCCTTACTAAATTGTCTGAGGTGTTGTCTCAGTCAGGAGGAAGCTAGAGTTCATACATAACTCAAGCTGTTCCATGATCCCTTGGTGGTGTAGTGGAGCAGATAACCACAAGAGGCCGCTGTAAAAATGGATGAAATCTCTGTCAAAATCCCAGCGTTTATTGACACGCTCAATCAAATCAAATCAAATCAACCCAGTGAACACTCATACTATTTTCCAAGTTTACAGTACACTAATACACTAATAATCTATTATGACTGATCATACCCATAACTAAAACTTGATAACAGTAATCTAAAAATGTAATCAATTAAGAGACATATTTTCTCAATGTAAGTATTTTTCTATCAATTTATTGAGTACACAAGTTCACAACAACTATCAATCAATCAAATGTATGTTATAAAGCCCTTTTTAAATCAGCAGTTGTTGCAAAGTACTTTACAGATAACAGCCTAAAACCCCAAAGAGCAAGTCACTACATACTGTGTGTAAAGAGACATACTGGATCATAACACAACAATATCAATAAAAAAAGAAACAAACATTCACAATTGTCTATATCACACCCACCAGATTATGATCACCTAGTTCACAGACATCCAAACACCCGTAACAACCACTATATGTTGAACTAGTAGAGAGCTAGGAACACAAGCATTTCGCTACACCCGCAATAACGTCTGCTAAATATGTGTAAGTGACCAATACAATTTGATTTGATTACAGGGCTTCTGAATGTTATTATGAAGCTACGGATAACATATTTCATATGTTTCAGGTACTGTAAACAGTCCATACAAAAAATTATGACTTATAAAAAAAACAATGATTTATAAACTTTAGAATAATTCTAATAAAGTATTCTGATGAATACTCTCATTATTAGTTGTCTCCTCTAGTTGGTGGAGGGGGAGTTGCTGGAGCAGGAGATGTAATGTCCTCAGTGACACGTGCAGTAACATCCCCTGGTGACGGTGTCGTTTCATTGACAATTGGCCCATTCGTGGAAATTTCTCTCACTGGTGGGATAGTTGACGTGGCAGCAGTGGGAGGGGTCACTGTGGTTGGAGCAGTTGGTCCTGGTGCCGTTCTTGATTCATCAGATTCTGAGGACTCGATTGATTCCGAGGACTGGTGGACTCGTGGACCATTGTGGTGTCCAGGTCTTTCAAACTGTGGACCATTGTGGTGTCCAGGCCTGTCAAACTGTGGACCATTGTGGTGTCCAGGTCTGTCAAACTGTGGACCATTGTGGTGTCCAGGTCTGTCAAACTGTGGACCATTGTGGTGTCCAGGCCTGTCAAACTGTGGACCATTGTGGTGTCCAGGCCTGTCAAACTGTGGACCATTGTGGTGTCCAGGTCTGTCAAACTGTGGACCATTGTGGTGTCCAGGCCTGTCAAACTGTGGACCATTGTGGTGTCCAGGCCTGTCAAACTGTGGACCATTGTGGTGTCCAAGCCTCTCAAACTGTGGACCATTGTGGTGTTCAAGTCTGTCGAACTGTGGACCATTGTGTTGTCCAGGTCTGTCAAACTGTGGAGTGAACAAAGTACATGAGCACCTGAAAAATACTGTAACGATAGCCACTACTGCTATTAATTATGGCAAAAGATATATAAGATATATAAAATGTTAATCCACTTACTGGTTTTGCGATTGCTGTTGAGATAAAGACAATAAGAAGTGCAGGCCTCAGTAGCTCCATCTCTTTTTTATTTCCGATGGAAAAAATTAACAAAATCTATGATTTTCTCTGCGTACAGCTCCTGTCCTGTCTGAGCCTACTGTGGAGGAGACCATAGACAGACATCCAGGGCTGGTGCTAATATAGCCAGTGCCAATGAATAAACCAAGGGCTGGGCAGTTATCTAATCCTAGGAATGTTGCAGGAGGATGACTGGGCTGGATATGATAGGCTTTCTGACTGTGTGTAACATGCGTCTGTCATTTCATCACTGAAAATATTCCTCTCTGAGGAAAACTTCAATAATTCCAGTGTAAACAAAATAATCATCTAGCCACCCCCGCCAATGCTGAAGAGATCCATTGTATTGAAACAAAAACTGAAAAAGGAAAAAGCTGCTACCATGTCTGTCACTAGCAGGAATTCATCTGCTCAAACAATACTGATGTTGGGGGTGATTTTATTTAATCTAGTTTCAACTATTTGTTTAGTCAGGTTCCAGTCTGCAGGTTCTGAACTAGCTCAAACTAGTGCAGATAATTATTTCAACCACAAGATTAGCCAACATCATGGAATAGAAGTGTAGACATGCCTTGTCATTTCCTTTCAACTATAATTAAATGAAACTGTTGCGTGATAGAGACTGATGACTGAATGACTAATGATCAAATACGTTTCTGGAAGAAAAATTAATCCTGAAAATTGCAACCTCCAGAGGCACGCAGAGGCCAAATTGAGCTCTGTACTGCATCGCTGTGCGCCTCCCAAATTTAGTAACAATGCGGAGGGCTCCATATAGTTCTGCATTGCCATGATTGGTTGACTGTAGGTGGTCCTGTATAAATACAAACTCACTTCCTTGACAACGTCCTTCACAACAGCTCTGCTCAATAGCTCTACGCTGCTCCGCTAAACACAAGAAGTATGAATGCCCTGACTTCTGCAGAGGCCGTATCACCGTAAATGCTGCACGGCCAATGTAGACGTCGAATTGACCATGCAGTGCCTTCAGTAACACACAATGTCTCAGACAGCACTGGCCAGATTTTGACGAAACTTGGGTGAATGATGCATCTTGCCATAGCAATCATGCCTTTACAAAATTACATTGATTGGTCGAAGGGGGGCGCTATAGTAATCAACTGTATAATCAAATCAAATCAAATTGTATTTGCTACATGCCCCGAATACAACAGGTGTAGACATTACAGTGAAATGCTTACTTACAAGCCCTTAACCAACAATGCATTTTTTTAAGTTTTTTTTTTTTTAAGCGTTAGGTTAAAAAAAATTAAGCAAATAACTAAAGAGCAGCAGTAAAATAAAATAACAGTTAGTCACACGTGATATCTCAGACAACACTGGCCCGATTTTGACAAAACTTGGGTGAATGATGCTCTTGCCGTAGAGATCCGTCATTTATAAAATTACACTGTTTGACCCAAGGGCGGCGCTGCATCATTCGAGGGGGACGACATGTTTACTGTTGCCTTGTTTTATTTGGTCTGTGGATATCAGCACTACAAAGTGGATACTGTACATGTCCTGGGACCTTGCCCCTGTGTTTCACTGAACCAATCATCAGCCTTTAGGAGAGTTTCTTCCCGGACCCAAGGTTGTTGAATGATGACAAAAGGGGGCATGTTGGTGCCACTGAGGTAGGGATAGTGTGCACACCTTTGTAATGGAAATTCCCTGTTAGAACAAACACATTTTTTTGTGATTCTACAAGTGTAGATATGCCTTGTCAGTATAATGTCAACCATCAAAATAAAAAAACTATATTGAGACTGATGACTGAATGGCTAATGGTCAATTAAGTCCAGTCATAGTTGCTGTAAACATCTCATAATCTCACACAAGGAGCAGTCAAAAGGGTAGCAGTCTAACAATTAAGTACCTCACTGTGATTGTTTTAAAATAAAATGGTCAAAAATAAACAAAAATAGCTTCTTAGCAAAGAGCAATTTCTCAAGCAAGAAGTTTGCTAGGAGTGTTCTGAGTTTTCATTTTTTGTTTCTTTTTTTGGGGGGGGTAAACTGAAAACTAGCTGGTATTGGCAGAGAGGTTTGGAACTCTCTTTCTTATTGGTCTAGTAACTAATTTACCGCATGGTGAAGGCCAAAGCTCTATCCCACCAAAACAGGGTGAAATTTCAGGTGGTTTTTTTCAAACAGCCCACTGGGCACACACTGAAGTGCATTACAACTCATATACCAGTAGGGGTCACTGTTCAGGCAGGAATCAATGGACTGTGGTTCACATTTTACTTAAATATACCTCTTTATTTAGGTTGATGGAATGACGTTGAAACAATGACGTTGATTCAAACATATAATTTTACTATCAACATTGAAACAAGGTCAAACAATATGTCTAATCAAATATACAATTCAACATCCACCCAATATACCCTGAGTGTACAAAACATTAGGAACACCTTCCTAATATTGAGTTGCACCCCCTTTTGCCCTCAGAAAAGCCTCAATTTGTCGGGGCATGGACTCTACAAGGTGTCGAAAGCATTCCACCGGGATGCTGGCCCATGTTGACTCCAGTGCTTCTCACAGTTGTGTCAGGTTGGCTGGATGTCCTTTGGGTGGTGGACCATTCTTGATACACACGGGAAACTGTTGAGCATGAAAAACCCAGCAGCATTGCAGTTCTTGACACACTCAAACCAGTGCGTCTGGCACCTGCTACCATACCCCGTTCAAAGGCACTTAAATATTTTGTCTTGCCCAATCACCATATGAATGGCACACATACACAATCCATGTCTCAATATAAAACATAATATGCAATAATTTTATATAAGGAGATCAGTCAATTGAAATCAATTAATTAGGCCCTAATCTATTGATTTCACATGACTGGCAATACAGATATGCATCTGGTGGTCACAGATACCTTTTTTAAAAAGGTAGCTGCGTGGATCAGAAAACCAGTCAGTATCTGGTGTGACCACCATTTGCCTCATGTAGCGCGACACATCTCCTTCGCATAGAGTTGATCAGGCTGTTGATTGTGGCCTGTGGAAT